CGGTATTGAACTCTCGACCTCCCGCACAGCAGTCCGGCGCTCTCCCAATTGAGCTAACCAGGCGGCGGCAGAAAACTGAATGAGTACATATTAAAACAGAAGACAGTCATAGCTAAAATAATTTCCTGAGATGTCATTCAGTCAGATCAAGAGCAGAAAGGTGGATTTTCAGGCACAATACAGACGCTATCAGTGGTCGAGAGCTTTGCATACTCATGTTTGGTCTTTATTTAGTACTGTGGTGTACAACAGGATATTTTCACCTAATATTAGACCACCTTATTTGCAGTTAAACAATACGGTTCAAAGCCTGTCTGATACTGGTAGCTCTTTAAGAAGTTCTCTGGATGTAATCAACAGCTCGTTGATCTCACAAGTGAGTAAAGGAAGCATTTTTAATAGATATGGAAATTCTCGCATGCTCATGATAACGGTCGAGAGCCATTGCCAATGGGGATAAAGATCATAAGAATTAGAAAACGTGTAACGCAACGTTCAGCGATGCCCGTTATATTATGTTGGAGAATAAAAAAACTTATCGTAAAAGTAATTGCAGATTTCCGGACAGTGGCGAATTTCCGAATTAATGATCGGTGTACTTAAAGAAGTTTTTGAAGAAGAACTTGTCGAGGTGGAGGAAAAGTTGGAAGAAAAATCTTCAGGAAGAGAAATTAGTTCTCGGTTCACAACGTGGTAAAACGTAGCAAAATTGACATGACCTCGTATAAATACTTTCCAGCTGTGCTTCGTGTGCCCTTCCACATTTTGATGTGGATCTACTTAACAGAAACAGAGAGGTTCCATGTTGCTGTGCGTCTGTACAGTCAAAATGTGGTAAAAGCGAGGAAGTGGCACAGGAATCGCAACCGATTGTGTCACTTATGTTCACACTTGACTATTTATCCTGTAGATCCAAAGCATCAGCAAGTTACAAGGACCTACAGGGCCCCCAGGTTTCAATGGCTCCAAAGGTGTTCCAGGTACACCGGGCAACGAAGGGGCCAGGGGAAATCCAGGTGGGCAAGGAACCCCGGGCCAACAAGGTGACGCAGGGAACCCGGGAAAGAATGGTACTGATGGTGTAAATGGACAACAAGGAGATAAGGGAGTACAGGGTGATAAAGGACAACAAGGGGCTGCAGGACCCGGTGGACCCCCCGGACCCCCAGGACCTCAAGGGCCTCCTGGAGCTGGGAACTTCAGTCAATGTAGATATGACTCTGCAGTAAGATCAGTTACAGCTGGTGATTTGGCGTCCGAAACTGTTGTGTTAATTGAACCGGATGTAAGTACCTACTTTTTTTTTTTCTTAATAACGGAAGTGTCTTATGCATAATCTTCATGAGAATATAAGTTTAGATTCTCTTGATAATCACGAGATAAGAACGAGATAAGAAAAAAATGTACAATATGTAAACCAACATAATCCTTATTGTTTGTTGTAACAAGCAAACCAGCGTCAAAGGGGAGATAAGACGGAGGCTATTTCCCCCTGTTGTGGCCAACGGGTGGGAAAGGGTTGGGTAAATGACAAAGGTGAGTTCTCAGGTCAAAGGCGAGCTATAAGCCATGTTACGGAGTACGAAACGAGCGCATGTGATAAAGGCATGGTTAATGAGTACTAACGCGCACTTTTTATTATACTGTCACTGGACTGCATTCAAAATCGAGGTGAAGATGCGATCATATTCTATGGCCAACATTTATTCCATATTAAAGGCTTACGCTTAATAATCGTTCAAAAACTTGTTCATAGAGTGGGTGCGTAACTTTATCTATATGCATTGCATGTTTCTAAAAACAAACTCTCCGAACACTAAATGAGACAAACTCCTACAAACATTTATTAATCTTAAATCGTCGAAGACTTCATTGTCTTTATTGTGAATTATTTTCGCTGTTGTTAATTAAATATCATTGTTATTTTCAGGGAAAGAAAATTCTTGGTGTTTCATGTTCCACTAATCAGGCAGCGGAATACATTTTAAAAATAGAGAAACTTACGACCGCCCCACATGCGGGGAAATATGCTTACCGTTGCACTTGCAAGGGGCAGTCTAAGTTGTTTAAACAGTCCGGTGCGATGGTATGCTTTCTGCACTACTGGGAATGCCCATTGACAACATAAATGACATCAGGTAACCTTTAGATTTATGGGTATTGGCCATTTCTTATTACAGACTGAAGTATATCTTTTTTAGGTTAAATCCTAATTTAATATTCCAAAGTTTTCAAATCTCTCTCATTGTCATTCTTATCAGGTAAAAAAATCAAACTGTAAGGGAGTCGGAATGAAATTCAACGTAGATTAACACCTTCAGATTTTGACTCTGTTTCCTTTTATTGTTTTCCGCTTTTCCTACTTTAAATTTATTTAATTGTTGTTGTTCATTTTAATGCTTTTAACCAAATTGAATTGTGTTAAACGTAAAATTAAAGTTATACACACTAATGTACTACATGAATATCTTTCCAAGCATTGGTGAGTCATAACGTAATTTTTAAAGCACTTGTGTTATCAATTGCGTTGTTATTCATGGTTGTTATTTTTAAATGTTGAGTTAGGCTAGTTCTAGAGCAAATGTCAATCGAGTTTCAAAAGTAATTTGTGATTGTATCGGTTCTGCTGAACTGCGTCCTGTGGTTGGTTTGAGAAAACTCACTCCCCTTTTCAACCAATCAGACGCCAAACCAGAACCAATTGGTTACTCTCGTTTTCCCGCGCTTTGGGTCTCTCAATTATGATTGGTTCCCCGTGGACCTTCACATCAGTTCTGATTGGTATTTGTTGTTACTCTGGATTTGGTGCTCGGAACTCGAATGAAAAGTGTTTCTAGATATGCCTGTCAATTCTTAAACACACGGTAACGAAGTAACATATTTCTTTTTCGAACTTATTATTTTTTCGCTTGTTTTTTGGTGTTTTTATCCGATACTTGTTGACAAGGTACTTAATCTGTATGCAGGCATACATGTTGAGGAGCAATTTTAATCTGTTAAGTATAAGAGAAAATTGCATTCAACTATTAGATGACATGACACGTCATGATTATCTCTCAAACTGAGAGATCCAACGTATGAAAACTCGATAATCTACTTCTGATAGTCTTTCCAAATTTTATTTTTTATCGGCCTTAATTTCAAGAAA